CCCCCCCCCCTGCGGCCCGGATCCTGTGGGAAGCACTGCTCCGTCCTCTCAAGTAGGCGATGTCAGCGGTCCAACTGCTACGGTAAGCAAAAGACGGGAACGCCCCCCTACCCCAGCTTATCCTGCTTGTCTGATCTTTTCGTTCACCGGGTTGCATAACATGAGCCACAATGGCTACGGCTTAACGACACCACCACGTACCGCGTTGGCGACACCGAAGCCGCACGGGACGCCGCCTCCTGCGCCGTACTGCTGCATCCTCGCGTGCGCCAAGCCCTGACATCGAAGTAAACAAGGGAGACAGGCAGACCGACAGACACAAAGGAGACAAGACAGAGAGAGACAGACACGAAGGACAGACAGACAGACGAGCAGAGAGGGATGCACGAAACAGTTGGCAGCGAGTGGGGGCAGAAGTGGGCCGAATGTCCGGCTCAAAACGCGTTCATCTACAGCAACATACATGAGCGAGCAGACAAAAGTGAAGCACACAAACACCGACCCACTCTGCCGAACGGAGCTGGAGGAAGCTGCAACACCAGGGTGATTCGAAGGTACCAAGCAACTAGCCACACCAAGCCATAGCCCACGACCCCTGACCTAGCGCCTAGCAGCTATTTACCAGGACTGGATCTCACGATCGTACACAGGAATGTGAGCCGGCGCCTCAGAGAACCGCCCCTTTGCCGCTACTCTAGACTCATCGTACGCCACCACCGCGGGCAAATACCCGAGGCAACGGCAGTTCCCCTTGTACTATGCTTGGCGTCGTGTCCAAGGTGACACATGAGTCGTGGGCCCGGCCCAGACCCCCGCTGTGCAGCGAAATGCCCAATACCGCGGCGAGCACAAAACCGAGTGGCTGGCACCACCGGACCCCGACTGACAAGCCACGATGAATGCCGGCAACAGCGACCTGACGTCAACGGCGACCAAATTCCTTCCCCACACATACCTTGCCCTTCGCCCATGTGGAGATGGACTTCTTGGCTCCCTTGATGGAGCGTCCCACCTCCTGCATCTTTTCGTACATCTTCTCCCACACCTGGAAAAAACGACATCACATGCAACATCGTACATGCCGTACACAGCCAAAAACTTACGAAGTCAAACCATACAACACAAAGGACAGCAAAGCGGCAATCCCGAACACACATACAAGTAAAGCCAACACACCAAACACACACCACATCAGTAAGTGGATCTGGGGGGGTGAACCATGAATCGCACTATTTCGGCACTTGCGATGCTGCCCTCGCCGACCAAGAATGTACGGCGGTGGGAGGGGGGGGAGGGGGCACGAAGAGGAGACCAAGGAAGGAAGGGCATATATCTATCGCTATCTATCGTTCTCTTCTCCCCTCACAACACACACTCGGCACAAGGAAAAGAGCACGGTAGGAAGGCCACATGGACCGCTATCCGTCTTCTCATCTCCTCCTCTCTTCTCACCCTGGGCACGCCGAAGAAGACCGTGGGGCGGATCTCCCTTAGCGTCTTGACAAGGGACCCCTTCAGGGCGTCCGGCTGAGCGAACGCGACTGTGCAGCCTAAGAACATCGGTCCGTGCATATCCAAGATCTGCAAGCGAGCCATGGACCGGGATGCATTCGTGCGGCGGGACACACACACACAAGAGGCGAGAGAGAGGGAGGGATGGGGGGTGGGGGGGGAGAGGGAAACACATTCGATTCGGCGAGAAAGTATCAGAACGATTACCCTGACGGGTTCATACAAAACCCTATATTAGGGCAACAAGAAGCGGCCTGAACAAAAACGTGGTTTTCGACACAACACAAGCATGCAACCTTTCACGCGCGAGTACAACTTGCACGACAACATGCACATGCACATGCAGCGGCAGAAGCAGCGGCAGAAGCAGCAGCGGCAAAAGCAGCGGCAGAAGCAGCAGCGGCAAAAGCAGCAGCGGCAAAAGCAGCACCACCAATACCACAACCACAACGACATCGACATAATCTTCCCCGAACGCTTATCAGTGCACGAAACAAAATTGCTCAACAACGACAACAACAACAACAACAACAACAACAAAAAGCAGCAGCAGCAGCAGTAGCAGCAGTAGCAATAACAACAGCAACATCAACAAATCTGCCCCGGACCCCTATCTGTGCTAAAAACAAACAATCTGCGTTCTTGAAAGAAAACTGCAGCAGCAGCAGCAGCAGGAGCAACACCTGCAAGATTCCCTTACCTGTGCGGCGATGTGGCTGAGCGGGAGGTATGACACCACCCTAGAGGTTTCGTTCAGGGGGAACTGCGTCGTCAGGGTCTGGACAACAAAAGCGAGAGAGTGGGGGGGGGGGGGGGGGNGGGGGGGGGGGGGGGGGGGGGGGGGGGGGCGAACACATTTTTTCGATGCGATTGACGGCGAGACGTAGTGTTATCAGCATGACTAGGCGGTGATGAACACGGTTCATGAAAATGTGCTAAATACTATTGGACGAGACATCAGCACCAGCAGCAACAGCCATAGCCATAAAAAAAACAATAACCACAATCAAAAACAGCCAGCCAGCATCGGGACCAGAAACAATTGCCACAGCATCAACCAACCACCACAACAGCATCATCATACGCAAAAACAGCAGCAACAACAACATCACCAACACCAACACCAACACCAACAACAGCAGTTGCAGTGGCAACCACACAAGCACCGCGGTACATGTGTACTGCGATCACCTCCGCGGTCCAAGTCACATGAATGACCACCAATTCGGGGAACCAAAAACTTCATAAACAATTAGTCGTCACCTCCGCGGTCCAAGTCATGTTGTCGTGGCTGATCATGACCGCCTTGGGCTTTCCGGTGGTCCCGCTGGTGTAGATGAGAGAGCAACACTCGCCCGGCTTCTGCGCCTCGATACGCTCCTGGATACTGGAGTCCGGAATCTCACCCCCGAGCTGCAAAAAAATATGCATACAGCAAGAAACACACACACACGCACTGAGAGTGACGACTTTCATTGGTCGGCCGGGTAGCGCTGTCGATGCAAATAATAAAAATTAATGAACAAACACGCCACACGGCCAACCACAGCATTAATTGGTGGTGGTGGTATCTTGTCTCCTTTCGCTAGTGAATGGAACTCTCGAACACATAGGCTGAACCCGATATTGAACAATCTCCTCTGCGGGACCCCCTGTTGGGGAGGGGGAAGGGCGCGGGGCTAACAGAGTAGTGTCCTAGGGACCCATCACCCCACGTCACACCGTGTATCATTTCAACGGCCAACCGGATACATGGCGTGGTCCAATATTGTGAAACGGAGCCTACCGTTTCGCGATTCTACAACTTGGATGAGAGCATTTTGACGGGTTGGGCTCACGCTGAGCCGGAAAAGTATGACAACCGGGTGAGACACTTCGTGTGTGCAGGGGAGGGCTTATCTGTGGCGCGCGCGCGGGGGGGGGTCTTGTTTTGGAAAACGGTAAGGACATACCTCCATGAACTGGTCCCACGTGTAGACGGGGAAGCCGCAGTCCGTCCCCTCCGGTACATTGCCCCTATACATCACGATGGCCTTCACCGAGGTGAGGGTGGCCGCCAGCTTGACGAACTTGTCGAGCTGTGCCTCGTTCTCGACCACCACCACCTCCGCCTCGGAGTGGTTCGTGATGTACTGGCAAGCCTGAACGAACACCGGTTGGTTCCATTTGATGGGTTCATTATATGTTCAGTACATTGCCATGAAAAAAGGGGGTCAAAGTCATGTCTCCGCAAAAAAAAAAAAAACTTCGCGGGTGGTTGGTGTTGTACATACCGCCAAGCCTGAATATTGGTTGGGTTGATACTGTCGTGAACAGCGAGTATTCTCGTGCTTTCCTACCGCACTTGAGGACCGCCTGCGCAGGATTTCGAAAATAATGAGGGGGCACGCAGACCCTATCCCTAACCTTTACCCTAACCCTAACCCCAAAGCACGGGCTGAATACTTTACGTCCGAGATTGGCATCCCATATGTTTACTTAATCAATTATGGTGCGTGGACTAAGAAGGATGGAAATGGTCATGTATCAGTACTTTTTTAGGCAATGGTTTAATTCAGCATGTACTACTGTATACGCAAACGGTTGCACGTAACTCAAGGTTTGGGGTCTGGCGGGCCCAACGAGATATTGGTTATAGGTTGTTTTAGTCATGTGTATGGTACTCTCGACCACGCTTTGTGAGCGCCATGCCAACATTGTCGGGTCGGTGGCGCTTGGACTGCGGAATGGTTCCCCAAGCAACCGTTTAGCAAGACCACGACGGCTGGTGTGTGTGCCGGTGCACGTTTCAAGATGCTCGACATCAGAGGCGTGTCGACCCCGTCATGTCCCTGCCAGTAGATAGTTGCAGTTGTGGCGCGTGGTTTGGGTGTAGTACCGGCATGCCCCAGGGTTAGTTGGAGGATGTCGTACCCCGCCCTTCACACATTTAAATCCTGGCCTCCGTAGGAAGCGACGCGCTGCAAAGCTCGTTGTTAGCAAACCGCAATCAACTTCGTTAAGTCGCGAGGGAAGGGATTGCTGGACCCTTCTCGCGATAAAAATATCTCAGGCAGGAACCGCAGGAGGGGGTCCAACCCCCCCCTTCTATGTGACCCCGGTTGGGTTGTCTAGCTAGTAGAAGTGGAGGATAGGGGCCAGGGCAGACGACAGAGTCCAATGATGGAAGATAAAAAAAACAAACATCATGCATCGCCAGGGTGTCATCATCCATCAGCAGAGGGAATAACAGCAACACCCATAACATCATCATAATGATAATCACCAAGCGTCATCATCCATCAGGAGGGTAAATGACAGCAACAACAGCAACAACAGCATCATAATCATAATCACCAGGCAGCAGCAACAACAACAATAACTGTAGAATCATCACCATCATAACCACCATCAGCAGCAGCAACAACAACTACAGCATCATCATCATCATCATCAGCAGCAGCAACAGGAGCAACATTAAGAGCAACTTACCTCCGGGAGGTTGGAGGTGTAGATGCCGGCAGGGATCCCTCCCGCCGCAATGGCTCCCATATTGGCGATGAACCACTCGGTCGAGTTGAAGCCGATGATGTTGATCGAGCGGTGTGGCGCGAAGCCCAACGACATGAGACTCTTGCCGAACCTACCATACAGAAAAAAAAAAAAATCGACATCGGTGTGAATTCCTCATGTCAGAATGAATAGCAGATGCCAATCTCGGACGGCAGGCATGTGCTGACGCGAATACAATTCACATCAGCAATAGGACAGCAGCAGCAGAAATACAGCAGCAGCAGCAGTAGTAGCACAGCAGTAGCAGTAGTAGTAAGACAGCAGCAGCAGAAGTACAGCAGCAGCAGCAGTAGTAGCACAGCAGTAGCAGTAGTAGAAGGACAGCAGCAGCAGTAGTAGTAGGACAGCAGCAGCAGCAGCAGCAGCCGCACCAACGACACCATATACAACAACAAAAAATCAACACCAACAACCAAAAGGACAGATGTCCACCCTGAACGCCGTTGCCCCTCACCTGAGGGTCTCCATGTAGAACTGCGCCCAGGTTAGCGTCTGCCACGGGGCATCGTCCGCAGACACGCCCTGTAGGTGTAGAAACAAGGGAAGAAGGGAAGAAGACACACGCACAGTAGTAAATGGTCAGCCGTAGCAAGCATTTACCACTCAACGGAACCAACGTAGACACACTAAAACTCGCACTCGTCCCGTCCAGAGGGGAAGAAGAGCGCAGAGGTATACGAGACAACTGTGGCTGTAAACCACGGCAGCTTGCGATAAGAAATCAATGAATTAAAACATAATGGTTCCTCAGTTGAACTCCACCTCCCCATCTCAAAGGACAACAACCAACACATGGGTGGGGGGGGGGGGCGCGACGCTGTGGTCGGCGGGTGGATGCGGGGTCGCTGGATGAGATCGCCTGGCACACAAAATTACCCCCTGAACGTGCGCATGTCTGCGATGTTTATAGCCTACCACGTTCGAGAGTGCGTGTCCAAGTCTGTCCCAACGGCAGGGGAGTGGGCCTGGCGTGTTCCCATCCATACGGCCTCTCGCAAAGAAGGGGGGGGGGGGGGGGGGGNAGCCGCATGAAGGGTGCGCTGCATCCTGCTACGGGTTTTCGGCATCTTGTGCGTGCTTCCTTGCGTACGGATGACAGCTGCGAATGACTTAATTTTTTTTCTGGTGCTTTCACTTCCAGAGACAGTTGTAAGCACTGTGTAACTGCCTCGAGGGTGCTTGACCATTGTAACACAATGTGGTGCGATCATCCCCCTTGCGCGGAGTGAGGGTTCTCCACCCCGCGCAACATGATCTACTGGACCACCATTTTGGCTATCGCCAAAAAAAATTAAAAGAGATGAAAAAAACAGTAACCTGGTTGCCGAGTTCACGAAGTGAATTGGCTTGTTTTACAACGTCGTTGCCAAGCGACGAAA